AGATATTTGCGAAAGAAGGAGGTGGGGGTCACCTGTTTTCAGAGGTAAAATTAGTCTGAAAATGGCGGCCAAAGATTAGTTGTTTCCTTAGCTTAAGAGTCCATGGTAACTGAAAATTTACATTTTTGAGCCTTTAATCAACGCTTTTCAGAAAAATCCACACAGAAATGAGTTCTTTAATGGGCAAGAAAGGTGTTGAGCCAAAAAACAAAAATTTGATGAAAATTCACAAAACTGCGGAAAAATGCAAGTTTCTTTACTTTGATTATTTTGACGAGAGCCTGATTCCACCACGCCGCCTCACATTTGTCCTCATTTTTAAATCCCTTTTAAGTGCAGTCATGCGTGCCGGTGTATGTATTGCCTTCTTGACACACAACTTTGCAAGAGCAAGACCAGGATGCACATTCTTCTATTCTGCGCATGTGGGATGTTGTGTTTGTGTTATAAGCACAATTGTGTCCCTGCCGGTCAATATCAGCCATATGAAGGAAATTTCAAAACCTAGTTAACATTATTTTAAAAAACTATCACCTTTTCCATACAATATAAAACAAGAATGAAGTAAGTATGACAATATTTTACGAAAATACAGAACTTTTAATTGTGCGAGGTGAGGAAACACGAAAAGGAGAATATAGCCTCCGAAGTTGAGCAACATGTTTCCATAGAAATGGGGGTCTTAGAATTGACATAGAGTATAATATAGTCTTGAAATTTAGCAGTTATCTTGGCTATGCCACTACAATGTAATATACAAAAGTAGAAAACTATTCATTTACAGAGAAAAAACGTATGGGCCAAACAAATTTTAACGAGAATGGACTTCTCGTCAAATGCAACAAAATATTAGCATCATACTAGGTACCAGACACTACATTTTCAAAGTAGCTGTATGTCAAATTCATCAGTTTTATGTGAAAGGCCTATGTCTCCTGAGAATTTTGGTGCCATACTTTTACCATAAAGTCAATGTTTAAGAGAATGGCAGCTGTTTCAATTTAACATATTAATAAAATATGGCTGAAGTCGTTAACTGGCTCCAACCCCATGTTTGACAGATAGTAAAAGTAAAAGAGTGGGAAGTGCACCAAACATCTCTTTATTAAAAAAGTATAATCACTATGACATAGAAATGAAGCCTAATATTTAAATTTGTTAAGACTGAGAGATCTTTCATCATCATCCAGTGCCAGATCTGCGATCATGTTTCTCCATTCATTCCTTTCCTCGGATGCTCTAAAAAAGCTGCGTTTCCCTGATCTTTCCCTGTTACCCTTGTTTAGGTTACCCAAGTATGTTGTTCTGGGCCTTCTCCTGCCTCGCCTGTCCTCAATTTTGCCAGTGAGAGCTAGGTCTTCAAGACCCTTATGTCTATTTATGTGTCCCAAAAACTGCATAATTTGTCGTTTCCTGATTGTTTTTAACGTTGAGCGACCCACGTGGGCTTCATCAAGCACTACCTCATTTGATTTCTTTTCCTTTCACAATACTCTTAGCAGTCTCCTAATAAACCACATTTCTGTTGCTTCTATTTTATTTTCACTGTCTTTAGTGATTGTCCAGCATTCACAGCCATATAGAAGGGTTGACCAAACAGAGCATTTCA